TTTTAATTCCTTTATTACTATGGCTATTTTATTACCTTGACTTTTTATTACAGAGGATAGTCCTTTTGCCAAAGAAAACCCTGGGCCTAGTCAACGCACATTTTTGCAAAAGCAGTGTAACAGAATGAGGGGTCTCTGGCAAGTGGTATGTACAACCCACAGCAATCCTGACCTGCTGAAAGCTTCAGGTCATGCTTCACCCAGGCCTTTCCAAGGAGTAGCCCGTCACCATGTTATCTAGGGTAAACTCAGTCCAGTCCACTCATCTTCATGTGTTTGTCAACTACTAGAGTTGTCTGGATTTACAGTAAAGATGCGCTAATATTACAGGCAAAGAAGTGAGGGAGGTGACTTTCCATAGCTGGCACAGCATGAAAAAACCAGGATGGGCTGCTCAGCTGTGCAGCAGTGGCATTTGGAAAACCCGCTCTGCACTTGATTCAGCTCCCTGACAAGTAGAGATGTTTGTCATAATAACCAGAGAACGCTTAAGATGTGTGGGTGGTCCTGTTTTTATCTTGGTGATGAAAACCCTCATAGGGTTTAGATCCTTTCTGATGGGAGAAGAGCTTGTCCATCTGTGATTTGGGAAGCAGCAGTCTTGCACAATAAGCAATTACTATCTATGAAGTAAAAACTGCCTTGTACTGTCCTTGATGTTGAGAGACTGTTCAATTGATGCAGTTGATTAAATTTTTGATTCAGGATAGGAGATTGAACACAGCTCTTGGGAGGGAGTAAGAAGGATCCAAAGAAGCCATTCGCATCCCTTGCTAAGATTACATGGGATCATGGAGCGGAGTTTTCAGTCAATAGGCATAGTCCATTTTATGACACATCTGGTTAATATATTTGCTGAAAACTGTCTCATGAGACAGCAGGAGAGTAACTTTTCTGTTTTCTCTGCACAATTGATTATAATGACATAAGTAGTAGAACAGACCAGCCCTCCAGGGACGGCATAATTTATTTTGGCTCTTACTTGACATTTCTTGTTGGATTAAGTGATCATAGAATAGGGTACTTCTGAGCTTGTCTGCTGATTTGTACCCTTCCCGTTTCCTGGTCAATCATGGCTTGTGTCGGGAACATCAGGTATGAATGGCTCAATTAGTCCAGAGCGGAAAAGCATAAGCTGTATCTGAAAGACAATAGGATTTTCTGGAGGCTGTATAAAACTTCTTACGCTGGTGTGTACAAATGTTGTGCTTAAGCCAGTGGAAAAAAAAATAAATCTTGCATGGAAAAAAAAAGAAGCTGCGCTGTTTTATTTCTCTGGCAGTTTTGATGAGTCACATGGGTTAAGTCAAGTAACAGGGGTGACATTTCTGATGAGACAGACCTTCCTTTGTGTTCAGGCTCAGTGATTAAATCACGGTAAGATGTGATTCTGGAGTACCATAGGCCTTCTTCTCATTGTACAGCAGGAAAAGGAGGGGAAAGCAGGGAAATCCTACAGAGCTGAGGTGGGATGAAACTCTCTTTCCCTGGCAACCCAGCCAGCACAAGCCTTTGTTGAACAGATTGGGCTCATCTTGCTGGAAGAGAGGCGATGGCCCTGGAGGCACAGAACAGGGGCAGGACTTTTAACTCTGATCTGTGTGTCAAGTTCAGATTTGAATGATGGAGCAGGAAGTTCAGACTCTGCATGAAATGATCCTGTAGCAAGAGCTGAAACTGATTCTCCTTACTTTTCTGTAAGGTTGAGATGTGGTACTAAAGAAACAGAAGGGAAGATACTATGCTTTTCTCTCTTTTTTTTTTTTTTAAGCTGAGGAATGCTGAGCTCCTCGGTAAGATGGACTCCATTAAGACCCAAATACTTGGGTGCTTAAAGAAACAAGTAATTCTGTCAGCTCTTTGTTCTGACTGCAGCTGATTGCTGGGTTTTTTTGTTTTGTTTTGTTTTTAAAGCAAATCAGGCTTGAACAAGGGCAGTGAGCCTTTTCATGTTTGCCCACTTGTAGATTGTTTCAGCTGCAACTGAAAAAGCTTAAACATTCTTATATTTTGGGTTGTTTACCATTGTCCCAGATAAGCTGAGTGACTCCTCACAGAAGTTTCAAAGAACCAGAAGGTTTTTATATTCACCTGCAAGAGCTTGCCAAGCTTTTCTGAGGAGAAGGGTGAAGCTCAAGGTGATAGACTCCTAGTCAAGCAAGAAGGCACTAGCTCCTTCACCTTTATTAAAAATCATTTCTCATCTCAAGCAGTAATCAGGAAGCATGTGTTTTGTGCAGGGCTGTGTTTGGACTTGTCTGCTGTAGCTCTAGGAGAAGTCAAAAGTAGTTTCTTTCAGAGACTGAAGGAGAGCAATGCTTCATGGTGACTTTTTGTGAATTGCCCTGTGGCAAAAAATTCTTGTGATGCTGGAATGTGAGGACCGTGCTCGTTTAAGTATGCTTTTTAAAGAAGGGAAATGGGAGTTTAGGTGCAGGGAAAAAAAATGCCAGGAATGCTGACAGTCTGTAGCACTGTCCTTTTCCTATACCAGTGGAGGCAAATAGCTCGACTCTGCTCCACTTATTAAAATTCTGTTTCCATTGCACAGTTCTGTAGTTGCATGCAAGGATATGGGACATGCAAAGCCTGCCTTTACTGAATAGGGTGAGAGAACTGTGCATGACAAACGTGTGACTGGCTGCAGAGTGTTGCACACAGAGCTTTCTTAGAACAGTAAAAACCCGTGTCTAGATGTGACTGACAGGTTCTTTTAGATAAGTAAAGATTTTTTTTTTCTTTTTTTGTGTAGTTTCACTTTTGGTTTTGGTTTCTACTTCTCTTGGAGTTGATAATAAAAATTTCTTGTGCTTGCTGCTGAACAGGACAGTTCTTGGATCCTAACAATAGTTCCTGTGTCCAGATCGCTCTCAGGAATCCAGTTCGTGGTTTGAGATGCTCATTCAAAGATGGAGCAAGGCAATGCCTTTGAAACCTTTTCTTAATCTTGTTAAAGGTTTGACTCTGGTGCAACTAACTTCTGTTTCATCTCAGAGTTCTTCTCGAGGATCTTATTGGGTGAAAATCTCATCACCTAAAACTTGGCAGAGTGTAGGGAAGTAATAGGCTTTACACAGCAGGGAAGAGAGAGTTATCTTTTTAAGTGATGTTTATGTGCACTAAGTCATGATTTGTTTGTCCTTAGATGCTTGTTTACTCCATTATGACAAGATCTAAATCTTTACATAATTTCGTGTAGAATTAACCATAATAAAAGTGAATGAAAATCCTACTGAATAAAGGGGTTGTGAGCAAATCATTTACTCTGTGAAGTGTGAGCGGGACTGAGCACAGATTGAATCTGCGAAAGTGCACTGCTGCTTTGTATACCATTCTTGCTGGTCAAACTGCCATAAATTGAAAGCAGATTTGTTGCATAACCAGCCAACTAGTGTGCCAAACTGAGAATGAAAGTGTTGGAACTTAGCCCCCAGATTCGACCAGCCAGAGATACCACATCGTACTTATCTTCAGTTGATAGGCTGCTCCTCCTTGCCAGGGGATGTGGAGGACTCAGAGGGGGGAGGAGAAGTTAATGCCTTGGAGAAAACATACGTATGCACTCAGGAATTGGTTTCTTCTGCTCTTCATCACTTTTTCAGCTTGAGCTGGGGCTTGAGCGTCAAGACGGCCTGAATAGCTTGCTTTCCTCCTAGCTAGACTTGCACAATGTCTGGCTATAATCTGTGTATTGGGGATGATGTTGAGCAGACTTGTCTGCTCACTAGCTCATTTTTTTAATTTACTGAAGTGGCATAACATTCATAGAATCATTTAGGCTGGAAAAGACCATTAGAATAATTGAGTCCAAGTGTTAACCCATCACTGCCAAATCTATCGCTAAACCATGCCTCCGAGTGCCACACCTACGCATCTTTTAAATACTGCCAGGGGTGGTGACTCAACCACTTCCCTGGGCACAGTGTTCCAGGGTTTGATGGCCCTTTCTGTGAAGAAATTTTTCCCAATGTTCAGTCTAAACCTCCCCTGGCACAACTTGAGGCCATTTCCTCTTGGCCTGCCACTTCTTACTTGGAAGAAGAGACCAACCCTCAGCTGGCTACAGCCTCCTTTCAGGTAGTTGTAGAGAGCAATAAGATCCACCCTGAGTCTCCCTTTCTCCAGACACCCACAGCTCCCTCAGCTGCTCCTCATAGGACTTGTGCTCTGGAACCTTCACCAGCTTCGTTGCCCTTCTCTGGACAGTCTCCAGCACCTCAATGTCTGTCTTGTAGTGAAGGGTCCAAAACTGAACACAGGATTGGAGGCGCGGCCTCACCAGTGCCCAGTACAGAGGGACAATCACTTCCCCAGTGCTACTGGCCATGCTTTTTCTGATACAGGCCAGGATGCCATTGGCCTTCTTGGCCACCTGGGCACACTGCTGGCTCGTGTTCAACCACTGTTGACCAGCACCCCCAGGTCCTTTTCTGCTGGGCAGCTTTCCAGCCACTTTGCCCCAAGCCTGTAGTACTGCATGGGGTTGTTGTGACCCAAGTGCAGGACCCAGCACTTGACCTTATTGAACCTCGTACTGTTGGCCTTGGCCCATTGATCCAGCCTGTCCAGATCCCTCTGCAGAGCTTTCTACCCTCCAGCAGATTCAACACTCCTGCCCAACTTGGTGTGCCTGAATACTGGCTAAGGGTACACTCAATTCCCTTGTCCAGATCATAGATCAAAATATTTAACAGGACCAGCACCAATACTGAGCCTTGGGGAACACCACGTATGACCGGTCAACAGCTGCATGTAACTCTTCACCACTGCTCTCTGGGTCCAACCATCCAGCTGGTTTTGTACCCAGAAAAGAGTGCACCTATCCAAGCTACAAGCAACCTGTTTCCCCAAGAGAATATTGTAGGAAACAGCTCAAAGGCTTTACTAAAGTTTAGGTAGACAACTTTTATAAACTATAATAATTTTGTCTGTCTGGCAGTCTTGTGTGCATACTTCGTGTCTACTGCTGTAGAATTTGACAGTGAGATGTTTCTAATGATGCTGTGTCTTCTCTTGCAGGCTGGAAGAGACAAATATGAGCCCACTGCTACATCAGAGCATGGCGGAAAGAAGAAGAAGAAGGGGAAGAAGGAGAGGGACATGGATGAGCTTAAAAAGGAAGTTACAATGGTAAGACTGTAGGGCACAGAAAGAGCAGCCTAAAAAACATTTGCTTTACCCAAAGCCCTGTGCCTTATGTGACTAAAAGAAGAGTTGGTGTGCTGACAGCATGGTGTAACTAAAGGCACTGATCCCCCTTTTCCTCCCTTTCCCTCTGTCCCCAAGCCCAACATGCTGCAAGTGTTTGAGCATCAGGATGACCACACAGTAGACTCTGGAAACATGACTTCTCAAAAGGCACTTCACACAGAACCTATGTTTCTGCTTGCCTGTATTGCCCGTAGCACAGCATAGTTGTATTTCCTCACCAGGCAAGCGCTCTCTGGATAGCAGCATTACAAGCTTTATTGTGCTGTCATGTGAGTGGCACTGCTGTTTTCATTCCAGATGAGGAGTTGAGGCTGTACAGCTCCATTTACTGCTGGCCTCTGCTCAGAGTGACCTCAGTATTATTCCTTCTAATCATGTTTGAAGCTGTGGGAGGTGTCTCCCATCCTTATCTCTGAATGCTGGATGATGCTATACATCTGTCTGTGAGCATCTGGCTTAGATCTGCTCTCCTTGAAGGCGATGTGGGTTTTGTTTCTGTTCTGTGGATTTGAGACTGTGCTTTCACATTTTTGGCCCCTCAGGGAGAGAGAGGGGTTACTAAAGATTGCTCCAAGATGAGATTTTGCGTTCAGTAGTGATATGAACTTAAAGCATCTGCTCCTCCAGTAAAACCTTCTAAGTGAGGCACTGCTCTGCACCAAGTCGATCCAACTGAAAAATAGCCTTTCTGTGAAAAGAAACCTCTGGGGGACAACACACTTCTCCCGAAGTAGTGCTTAATCTGGCAGCACTACTTAAAAATGTGTGAAATTGCAGGCTTAATCTTCTGTACATTCCTACCTTCCTTCCCAACTCCTTTTCTTTCCCCTCCTCTCTCACCCCCCCCCAAAAGCCCGACCTGTTGAGACTTCACAGAATCTGCTGGGGGTGTAAAGACTGCACCGAGATATACTAAGACATTTTTAAAAAAGCTGTCACGTTGTACGCAAATAGTCACAAGAACACTAAAGGTGAGACTCTGCTGAATTGCGGAATGCGCTTGAGTTTCTCTTCACAGGGAAGATGAGCTGGAGTCTTGCTATCTCACCAAGCTGTTACAGATAGGAAACCTGGGGTGTGGGGTGGAATTGCTGAGCTCTTGCTGATGAGCCTACAGGTACCGATCATTTCTCTCCCGACTATTTCTTGTCTTTCAGGATGACCACAAGCTGAGCCTTGATGAACTTCATCGTAAATATGGAACAGACTTGAGTCGGGTAGGTAGACGTTGTTTTCCTGCCCCCCTTACCCTCCTCTGAAAAGAAACATTCTTGACTCAGAGCATTTCACAAAAGGAGGTCTGGGTGGTCTGGTTTCAGTGTGGTGGTGTGTTTTTTTGGTTTTTTTTCTCTTTAATCTCCCCTCCTCCAGTTAAGTTTCCCAGGCTTCCCAGAACTGTTGAATTCACAAATACTTCTCTTCATACTCCCACTGTACAACCTGACTGCAGTACTGTTGTGACTTTGCTGCTAACAAAGTCACTGTTATCTGCCTCTGAATTGTTCAAGGTCAAATTGATTCTTGGATTTATTTTTTTTTTTCCTGAGGGACATGTAATGAAGATAAATGCTTGTTCTGTTGCAAATATAGCCTAGTGAGCTAGCACATGCCCAGAGACTTAATGATGGCTAGTAGCAGTTATAATTTTACCTTCCTGTAGTTAGAGGTATGCAAATGTCCAAGGCTACCTCCAAGCCCGGTGCAGAAGCACTGCAGTGATTTTACACCTTTGCTGTTGTTTGCTTTGCTTAATGCATTTTTTGCACGAGTGCACATAGCATCAAGTTTGCTCTTTACAACAGCACAGAGATTTGCATTTTTGTGTCAAAGACCTTGGCTTCTGAAAGCTGAACTTCCTGGAAGGTTGTTCCAAAGTGTCATCATGGTTATGGCCCCCAACTTTCACGCTTGTTCCGTAATTTGATAGGATGGATTGCACTGTGCTGTTCCTCAGAGCTCAAAGTCTGCTACTGTAGCTTTCTTGTCCTGCCCTTCTTCAGTTTTGTAGCCCCGTGGCCTGCAGGCTCCTCAAGTAGCATTCAGCATCCTGTAGCTCCTCTTTTGGCATTCAGCTTTCACACCCAGCTCTTGTGTTGTGGAACCCTGGCAGCTGTGGACATCTGTTAGCAGCTCCTTGTTGCTGTGGTACGCCTTGAACAAATTCAGAGCTACCTTCTGTGGTCAGTCTTGCCACAATGCCTAAAAAAAGAAACCTCTCTTGTAGGGTTTGACTTCTGCACGTGCAGCTGAGATTTTGGCTCGTGATGGCCCAAATGCCCTCACCCCTCCACCCACCACTCCTGAATGGGTAAAGTTCTGTCGGCAGCTCTTTGGAGGATTCTCACTCCTGTTGTGGATTGGTGCTATTCTATGTTTTCTGGCTTACGGCATACAAAGTTTGATGGAGGAGGAGGCCAACAAAGATAATGTAAGTAAAAATGTCGTTTTTTACCTCAAAGGCAGGCCGAGCAGCCTGTTTAGCTCAAAGCAGATTAACTTCCTCGAAGCATTCCGTCCAGAAGCTTTTCCCATAAGCACGGGAAATTCAGTGTGAGAGCTTAACATGTCTTGGAGTGCTTCCACATAATGAAATGAACAGCCAACTTCCTTTGTGTTGTGTTAACAACACTAGCTTGTGGATGGCCTTTGTGTACAAAATGTACAGAGACTGCAAGTACCTTCATGCTTGTAATGGGGCACTTAAATGCCAAGCAATTTATCTGGACAAGCTGGAAGCCTTTCAGGCAGATCGTCCTCTGACTCATTTTCTCTGCTCTTTGTAGCTGTACCTGGGTGTCGTGTTGGCAGCTGTGGTTATCATTACTGGCTGTTTCTCTTATTACCAAGAAGCAAAAAGTTCCAAGATCATGGAGTCCTTCAAGAACTTGGTGCCTCAGGTATGGAAGAACTCATTTCCCTGAGGTCTGCCAAGCCGTAGCTTTCTCAAGGTTATTAACAGTTTTAAATATTGGCTTCAGTTGCAGAAGACCTGGCTGTTACTGTGGGTTACTAGCTCTTAATTTCTGTGGGTCTATAATACTCCTTCCCCTTTATGCTCCAAGCAATTATGCTAATAGGCCAAAGTAGTTTCTGAAGCCCTGTGAGTTCCACCAACTTATTAATGATCATAGGACACTTTCTTAATAGTCTGGGGAGCTCAGTAACTGGTGTGATAAGCATTAGAACTTGGATTCCTTCATGGACAGTCTATAACATACCTAACTATCGAACTGTCACCTGGGGAGCAAGGACCTTTAATATCAAGAAAACAAAAAATAGCTATTTTTCTTAAATAACATACGTATCAGATAAAAACATTTTAGTCCAAGTAAAAACCTTGTGGAACCATATCACAACTATTCAGGTCTTCTGAACCTTTTCTTTTGACTTGCTTTTGACCTAGATTGTTTCTTCGCTGTCTTTCAGCAAGCACTTGTAATCAGAAATGGTGAGAAGATGAGCATAAATGCTGAAGGAGTTGTAGTTGGAGATCTAGTGGAGGTGAAAGGAGGAGACAGAATTCCAGCTGACCTTCGGATCATATCTGCACATGGTTGCAAGGTACAGCAATGACAGAGTGTCTGGAAACTTCATTCTGAAGGAGAATGAATTAGTCTGGCTTTGAAATGTCATAGAATGTCTTCTATGCAATGAATGGGTGGGGGAGTGAAAGAGAAGGGTGGGGGATGTACCTTGTGTTTCATCTACTTTCGTTGCTGAAGGCATCTGCCTGCTTGTGTATGACAAAGTACTCTCTTTCATGTAGGTGGATAACTCCTCACTTACTGGTGAATCAGAGCCTCAAACCAGGTCTCCTGACTTCTCCCATGAGAACCCACTGGAGACCAGGAACATTGCCTTTTTTTCCACCAACTGTGTAGAAGGTATGTGACTCTCCTACTTCCCTGATGTATTAGCAGTGGTAGAGGTTGAACTGTATAGGTAAACAATGCGAATACACCATGAGTTCAGTGTATCAGTTGGTAGCCTACTTCTACCATGCAAAAGCAGGCTTGAAGTTCCTAGCAAAGTCTTGGCCTGTTCCAACTGCACTACTGTAGAATCGTCAAAGACTCCACAGCACTACTGGTTTTTTTCTTTTAGTTTCTTGCTTCTCCTAGAGGAGCAGCTATGTGGTGTGTCTTTGAGCCTGCCTGCCTTATTACAGCTGTGTTAAAGTGCAGATAACATAATGTAAACCAAAATGGTGTTAGGTAGAGCTATAAGAAATACTAAGCTGCTGCAGAAAGCAGGAACATCAGTCATATATGGCAGAACTTTTGTTGCAGCTCTGAGAATGGTGGTAAGCAGTCTTTGCGCTGAAGCCCACCCAGAGCATCTCTTCACCACTCTCAGGGTGGTGAGCTGTGACTGGTTTTGTTTTCTAAAACCTGTCTTCTCTTCTAGGCACTGCCCGTGGCATTGTCATTAGCACTGGGGATCGCACTGTGATGGGCCGTATTGCCAGTCTGGCTTCTGGACTGGAAGGGGGGAAAACTCCAATTGCCATGGAGATCGAGCACTTTATCCACCTCATCACTGGTGTGGCTGTGTTCCTGGGTGTTTCCTTCTTCATCCTTTCACTCATCCTTGAGTACACATGGCTGGAGGCTGTCATCTTCCTCATTGGGATCATTGTTGCCAATGTTCCTGAAGGGCTGCTTGCAACGGTTACGGTGAGTGAAGTTGGAAAAAAAGATTGTATTTGTTACATATATGGTTCTTAAAGAAGTGGAGTGCTTCATGCTCAGTGTGCATTCACAGAGGTAAACACTGTGAGTGTGTAGGGCTCAGCTTTGAGTTCAGCATACTCGGAGTAGTTGCTGAAATAAGTGTCAAGTTCTGCAGCAATTTACCCAATAAAGATGCTTCCCTAAGTCAGACCTGCACAGAGGCTTGGCAATGTAGAGCTGAAGTGAGCAAGACCAAAAGTTCCGGACTTGTCTTGCCTTTTTCTGTGGCAAGAAAGAGCCCTCCTGTTACAACTCCATGCAGCTTTAGGAAGCAGAGCAGCAACTGAGCCAGGCAATGGACAGTTGGAAGCTAGAACTAGATAAGAGCTTCTGGCAAGAAAGGGGTAGCTGGAGCTGCTCACTTCCTACACCAGTAAGTTGCAGCCTTATCACAAGAGCTATTTTGGGTCATCTCATATGTGGCCTGCGTTCACCTATTTTGAGAGTTCCTCTGATTAGGAGGTGGCAACTTGAACTGAAATGTTAGTCTGGGACTTGTCATTTCCTTCCCAATGCACTGAGAAGCAGGAGACTGAAACCTTATGAGTCCTTTTCTGAAGGTTTTATGATGAGGAAACTGTGTTATTTAAACCTACCACCTGGGCCTAAGTGTTGCTGTTTATTTTGGAGTGGCAGGGTGAGCAAGAGGTTAGGGAATCACTGCAGGGCATGTAAGCTGGTTGTAATTCCGTGTGCACGCTAAGTTGGATAGCAGTGTTATTACTGCACAACTACATCTAACCTGTCATCTTCTTCCTTGTCTCCAGGTATGTCTGACACTAACAGCCAAGCGTATGGCTCGTAAGAACTGCTTGGTGAAGAACCTCGAAGCTGTGGAAACCCTGGGTTCCACATCCACCATCTGCTCTGACAAAACAGGCACTCTGACACAGAATCGCATGACAGTTGCGCACATGTGGTTTGACAATCAGATTCATGAGGCTGATACTACAGAGAACCAGAGTGGTAAGACCATATCTTTACACTTGAGGCATTTCATTAAAAAATGGCTTTTTCTGGAGCTGCCTGTGTGCTGGTACTTCTAAGAACCTGCATTTATAACTCTCCAGCCCAAGTGAAGTTCACAGTGCAAGGACTTCTAACATATGATCTACAGTGAGCATAAAAACCCTTGAAATGACACATAGAAAGCTTTTCACAGTGCCACATTTCTGTTTAATCCTTTAATTCCATATAGCCTGCTTTTTACTCAAAATTACTCCATTGGAATTTGAGCCTCTTGAATGTTCAGCCCCGTACGTTTGTTCTGTACATAGAAATACTTGCAATGTACTTGACTATCTTTGCCAAAATGTATCTGATTAAATTGCTCCATCTGAAGTCTGCTGAAAGTGTGGACAGCAGAGGTGTTGGCCCTGATAATAATTACTTGAGGCTGGACATAGATGAAAAGTTCCATGTGGAACTAGATGGCTGCCTTTGGACAAGGGTTTTCCTGAAACATCCAGGTGGTGTTTGCAGAGCAGTAGCATGAATGTAAGACCTTAACAGGAAGTGTCTCCTTGATATTGATAAAAATCTGAAATCTCAGTATGCTATGCAACTGGGAGAGTTACTTACCTCTCCAGAACTCTTCAATCCAACCAAATTCAGGAGTTTCCTAGCTGTCATCTACCTTGTGAAATGTTGTGCTTGCAACACATTGTTAGCATAAATGTTTTTCCAGTGGTGCTGCTGCATCCTGTCCCAGACACTCCAAAACACTGTGCTTGTCTGAACCGCTTTAAAAAGCTGCTTTACTTAACACTGGTGCCAAGCAACAAGCTATAAATAGCTCTTCGGAAGCCCTCAGACCAGTAGTGATTCAATAAACCTAGAAGATTTCTCTTCATGGAAAGTATATTAGCTTATCAGTTAACAGTCGGTTCAATTCATCTCCCTTGAAGCCAACTTAAGAGCTGCCATGAGAGAAGTAGTATCTTTATTGTAACTTGTTCCTTTGGGAACTATTTCATCCAGTTCCTGGGTTGGTGGATAAAGTGAGACAAGCTGGAGGTAGAACCCAGCATTCCTTACTCAACCCTCTCTGAATGAATGTTAACCTGTCCAAAATTCTGTAGCTTTATCAGCAAGTCTTCTGCTACTGCTGGATGCAGCCATTACTGGAATCTTGAAAGCAAAGTGTTGTCTTGCACTGTTGCTATTTCACCCTCTGGTCTTAAAATAATCAGCTATTCATCGAGTACCTGGGAAGGGAGAAGGAATGAAAGAGATGTACTGTGCTAACATGCTCTAAGTGTTTCCTGTTTCTGAGCTAAAGGCTTCTTGCTTTTAAGTGTGTGGGATTTTGCACTTATGTGTTTGATTGTTTGGTTTTTTTTCAAGGGGAAGGCTTTTTGACATTTTCCCTCTGCTTTCAGGTGCTTCCTTTGACAAGAGCTCGGCCACTTGGAATGCTTTGTCCAGAATTGCAGGTCTCTGTAACCGTGCTGTGTTTCAGGCCAACCAGGAAAATGTACCAATTCTTAAGGTGAGTTTCTAAAAAAGATTTTTGTCCTGTTCCTCACCACTGCTCTCTCATAGTAAGATTACATCCTGTGGGTCACAGGAACCTGCAAAGTAGAGGTATCTGCCACTTTTCATCTTTTCTACAGTCTAGCACTCTTAGAGAAGGTATGCTCTGAGCAGCAGAGATGAGACTGGGAAGACATTTCTCCTACAGCAGCCTCCCTGCCATCCACGGGCATCTACACTCTCTTTGGGAGGTCAGATACTTCAGACAGGGCTAGGAAAGACCAGAAGGCTTTCCTAGGCATTTCCCAATATCTGGCTGTTCCAAGAATTGCTATCTCTGGCATTTGTGCACTTAAAAGCTACAAGCACCTGGTGCTGAGATAAGTAGACATCAGAGCTGGGAGAGTGTCTCTAGCCAGTCTGTTCTCACTGGCAACTCTTTTTAAGCTTTTGCTGGTTCAGTACTGGTGCAAATACTGGCATAAAACCAGTTCACATTCCTGATTCTGAACTGTGACCCAGCCAGGGCTGAAATTAATCGTACAGTGCTTATAATCTGTCAAATATTAGTCATGTTGCTTAGTAAACTTCTTCCCGAGGGTGTTCTGATGCTGTGGTAATAGAGATGATGGAAGAAGCTATTTTTTCCCAGCACTCCTCTGACTGTATCTTCTGAAATGCAGTGTTTGTCAGTACTAGATAATAGAATTATTTATTCTTTACTGCCATATCATGTCATGCAGAAGCTGGAACTGGGCTGAGATGAATACGCTTTTTTTTCCTCTCAATATCTGATCTTCTGTGGTGAGTCTACTGGGATGCATGTTTTGATAGTTGTCTCTTTCCTTAGAGAGCAGTGGCAGGAGATGCCTCTGAGTCTGCACTTCTGAAATGCATTGAATTGTGCTGTGGTTCTGTCAAGGAGATGAGAGAAAGGAATCCCAAAGTGGTGGAAATACCATTTAATTCTACCAACAAGTACCAGGTGAGCATGTATCCTCTTGAAGGAGAGCTGCTGTGTGAAGCACTTGTGTAAATTTGCACACAGTGTGCCTGAAAACTTGTTTTGGCACCAAAATCTTGTCTAGCTATTACTTGTTTGAACTCTGCTCAAGACTATAAATTTAAGTTAACAGACCATGCTTTGTTATACTATGTAAGAGCTTCTGGAGCTGCACTGACACTGAGGTGTCAGCTGCTAACAAAAGACCAGACGTGCGTCTGACCTGTATACCAGCAGTGCATGGAGAGTGGAATAACTTAAATCTTGGAACAGGAAAGAACTGCTGGGAAATTACCTTAACAGGTGCAACTTGGATACAAAAAAGACCACTGTGGTTATATGTTAGTGTTACAGAACACATGGATTCCTTAGTTTGTGAACCTCTTTAAAGTGTGGGTAAATGAAAACTAGAGCAGAATATCACAAAGCGTCCTGAGCTACTGTAGTCACAAAACACTGAGTGCTTGTGACCTTTACAGCAGATGTCTATAGCAGATGTTCCATTTCTTCCACCCATAGCTGTCTATCCACAAAAATGCAAATCCATCAGAATCCCGTTACTTGCTGGTGATGAAGGGAGCTCCAGAGAGGATCTTGGATCGCTGCAGCACCATTCTCATTCATGGCAAAGAGCAGCAACTGGATGAGGAAATGAAAGATGCTTTTCAGAATGCCTACCTTGAATTGGGAGGCCTCGGGGAGAGAGTGTTAGGTAAGGAAAAGCAGCCTTAATACATTGAAAAAGGTTTGTCCCTCATGTTCCTAAGCAGTCCCCACAGATTAAGTGGAGGGTTACTCTGTTCCTGCACTGTAACCATAATACTGAGTCAAGGTCACTTCAGCAATTCATATAGGAACAGTCCTGCCTTTAATCTTTAATCCAAAAGGGAGCCTGCAGGGTCTTGTCATGCCCAGCATCTGGGTCACCAAGATGAAAATGCAGCAAAGCATTTGAGACCTTTGGTCTCCATGGACCACATGGTATTAGATTTGCTCCACTGCATGTGAACCAAGCTGTGTCTGGGCACCTAGCAACAGCTATTAGTTATCAGAATACAAGCGTAACTCCTGCCTCAATAGCGCTGGCTAAACCTCTGATGCTGCCCTGTTATTCTTGTGTAGTTGTTTGCAGAAGCAGTAAGTGTTCACTTTCTCTGCCTCCTGATATGTAGGAACAGACTAAATGTGAGTTTTGTGTGTTACAGGATTCTGTCACTTGGCTCTGCCTGATGATCAGTTCCCCGAAGGCTTCCAGTTCGATACTGATGACCTGAACTTTCCTGTAGACAAACTCTGCTTTGTAGGACTCATGTCTATGATTGACCCTCCTCGTGCTGCTGTGCCAGATGCTGTTGGCAAATGCAGAAGTGCTGGGATCAAGGTAGTTTACTCCTGGATTGCAAATTGCCTCACTCTATTCCCAGGCATATAAAGGATTTCCCTTTACTCTCTGTATTGCTGTAATGTGGGTGGATGAAGCATCAATCAGGATTTAAGTAGTACTACTCCAGGCTTAATTTCTAACCTAAATACAAATGATTATATGTTAATGGACTGAAAAACGAGTTAAACTCCAAACCGCTAGGGCACTGACAGGTGCAGACAGCATGGTGTCCCAAAGCAAGTGATTTGGCTCAGGGTGTGTTCTGCATGTCCCACAATACTAAGATAAGAATGAAGCACAGGCTGGAAAGGGAGCTGGCTCCATTAACTTAGGATTAACAATTTTCCTTGTCTTCTGTCCCCCTCAATCCATTGCATGCTGGTGGTAGGTTACTGCCTGTACCTCAGACTTGTTCTGTGCCAGTGCTCACGTGGCCTTTTCAGTCTAAGAGACCGTGCCTTTTGGGCAGTGTTGCTCTGCAGTACAGGCGAGGCTTTCATAGTAGTCTGTTTGCATTTCAGGTTATCATGGTTACTGGAGACCATCCGATCACAGCCAAAGCTATTGCCAAGGGTGTCGGCATCATCTCCGAGGGCAATGAAACGGTAGAAGATATTGCTGCTCGACTCAACATTCCCGTCAGCCAGGTCAACCCTAGGTAACGACTGGTGGGAAAAGCCAGAGTTGATCAAAGAATTAAGCATTTGCCTCTCTCCTCGCCTTGGATAATCCCTCATCATCTTTCCCTGGACATGAAAAGTTTGGCATTTACTTAGCTCAGCATATTGTGGCTCTTTAATGATCATGAATTATGTGAAGAATGCACTAGGCTGTCTTAAATGTGCATCTCCTGTGTGTGGGAAGTAGTTAAGAGTAAGACTGTAGGTGGGCAAAGGGAGCAGCACTTAGGCTACATAGAGGAGTTGACACTAGTCCATAGCTACAAGCAGAATAAATGTAAAAATAGAACTCCTTCCTCTTAAGGGTTAATGTTTGCCTTCATAGCCTAGTGCAGAATTGAGGCATCCTCAGAAAATGTGCTTTGGCATAAGCAGGCTGTTTGCAGAATGGCTGGGCTGTCTACATTGCTTAGCTTGACCCAGCCTGTGTTTGGGCTGGAGGGTAGCCATGTAGCTTATGAACTGTGAATAGAGACACCCTGTGAAATGAAATTGCTTGGGGAAGACAAGTACTGTGACTGAATTCCTTTTTTTTTTTTTTTTTGTAATTTTTTTATTTGAGGGTAACTTCACAACCCAGCAGTGTAGACTGGGAATTGCTGGGCTGTGTGACTGAGCAGCTCAGCAGCTGGCTCTAAGGGTGGGGAAGGAATTTCCCTGTCTAAACTGGATGATGTCAAGGGCTGTGTGGATAGTCTCCTAGACCTATAAGGGATGGTATGCTGGGTTAGAGAGATGGTATTTTGTTGTAGCATGCAGGGTACCAAACCAGTCTAAATATAACATTGTGTGCTTTTGTTGCCAAAGAATGTAAATTAGTCTGAACTGGCATAGTGTGAGCACTCTCTGTGAAGGGCCACGTGTAGATCATCAGTCTGTTACAGAAAGGATTGCCTGCAGAAGACTACAGCACCTCTTGCACTGTTGGAAGCTAACCACAGAGAGGCCAAGAGCTGTAGAAACAACTAGTCTTTGCCTTGATGCACTTTAGAAAGCTATAGAAAGAATTGGTTTGCTCATGAGGCATTTTGTCAGTTACTTGGCTCTGTTTGTCTTTTCTTTGCGTTCCCCATTTACCTTTTAAATTTTGAGCATCAAACTTTTGTGGAGAGGCTGGCTGGATTAGTATTTGGTCACATCAGGAGTTGGTCTTTCCCAAGAGCACTGAAGAACCATAGTTTTATAAGGCAAATACAGCTAATGAGAAACTTGTTGTGAAGTAAAACATATTATTGTCTCTTGTTTGCAGGGATGCCAAAGCTTGTGTTGTTCATGGCTCAGATTTGAAGGACATGACTAGTGAGCAACTGGATGACATCCTGCTTCATCATACAGAAATTGTCTTTGCCAGGACATCTCCTCAGCAGAAGCTTATAATTGTGGAAGGCTGTCAGCGACAGGTAAAGAGAGGGATGTAATATTGGAAAAATCCCCAGACATATATATAAACTACTAGCCAGTTCTGCTTCTGAAGAGGCAAGGCTTAAAACTAAGTGCCCTCATGTAAAGGACCAGACTAGATCTCAATCTGTGAACAACCTTCAGGTGCTGATGTCAGGCTGGTTTACAGTACATAAATATAAGGGTTTGGCAGGAAAACATCTTCAGCTTGTACTGAGGCTTTCTTATCCTAGGAAGTGTGTTAGCAGACTTAATTTTAATTCTTAAATGCTCTGGATGTGCTTGGGAGAGGAGAATTCAACATGTTTACATGTTGTCCAGCATCTCCTTTGGAGAGAGCAGCATTCCTGATCAGAACAGGAAAAGGGTGAGGGGAGAACAAGGAAGAACTGAGGTCTCTTTATAGCAAAGTGAAATAGTTTTTTGTGCTTCATCTCCTGAAAGATAGGAGGAAGCTTTTCTGCTCAAAACCTCTTACATGATGATTTCAGTCTTGCTGTTCCTCTCTTTGTGACTAGGGTGCCATTGTAGCAGTCACAGGTGATGGTGTGAATGATTCCCCAGCCCTGAAGAAGGCTGACATTGGTGTCGCTATGGGTATTGCTGGCTCAGACGTCTCCAAGCAGGCAGCTGACATGATTCTGCTGGATGACAACTTTGCCTCCATTGTCACTGGGGTTGAAGAAGGTGAGTTTGTAACTTGGGTGCAATGGTGATGAAATAACATGCTTCAGCAATGTTACTTACTGATTCCCTCTGAAATAGTGGCATCTAGAGGACTCTCTTCTATTTGAGCTTGTCTCCGTGTCAAGTGTTTTCAAGGAGAGCAGCACTTTCCTTCTCCCTTCAGAGTCTTGTTCCTTTCCATGGGTTCAGCATGACCCTTTGGGATGGATAACAGTAGGAAGCCGCTGAGTAACAAAAGCTACTTTGTCCTTTTGCCTAACACGTGACCCTATAGTCATCTTTGCCAGCTGAGTCTGACACATTTTCTTCCCTGATGGAGCAATAGCTCTCAAAGAGGAGCAGAACAGAGGGTATCTCCAGGGGCTCTTGATCTCCAGGAACCAGGGCTTAGTATCCTGCTGCTGTATGCAGTGAGCTCTGATTGCTGTGACCAAAAATGTTGCTCTCTTTAGTTGATGCTGGGCACGGAGCGCACAGTCTCACCCTTACATGCAAGAGAACTCCTTCATTTGCTGCACTAGCATTTTGCTTTCCAGTGTTACCTCTGAAGCTGTCTATGAGCTACTTGGCTGCCTTGTGCTGATAAGTGAGAGTTACCTCGTTCTCTCTTCCTTGCCCCAGGGCGTCTGATCTTTGATAACCTGAAGAAGTCTATTGCTTACACCTTGACCAGTAACATTCCTGAAATCACACCGTTCCTGATCTTCATCATTGCAAACATACCCCTTCCACTGGGAACAGTAACCATCCTCTGCATTGACTTGGGCACTGATATGGTGAATGTCTTTTTTTTTTTTTGTCTCAAGAAGAAATGAGAGTGTTCTTAGGTACCCTAAAGAAAGGACAGATGGAAGGAAAATGCTTAAATACAGTTTTTTCTAGTGTTTGCATTTAAAATAAGCAACCATTTGATATTCCCTTAATCTACACTCTCCATCTCATGACTCTTGAGTCTGAGGATCCTTCGGTTTCATATAAGGACAAACTGGGGATGGGGAGGGGGAGGTCCTTTCTGAATACTACAGCTAGGGCTTTTGGGCAGTGCTGTTTCTCAAATTGAAAACGGGACAGGGAAGACTCTATACAGTGGAAAATTGAAACGGTTCTAACAGCAGTCTTGCCACCTCCAAAGGTCCCTGCAATCTCCCTGGCCTATGAGCAAGCAGAGAGTGACATCATGAAGAGACAGCCCAGAAATCCCAAAACAGACAAGCTGGTGAATGAGCGGCTGATCAGCATGGCCTATGGGCAGATTGGTAAGCTGCTGTTTTCTCTGGCACCAGTTTGAACTCAGTGGTAGCAGGGTTGTACACCATCCGGAGTCAGTGACTGCTCTGCTTATTTTGGTAGGGTTGAGGTTTGGGGTGTGTAAACCAGAACCTCAGGCTGTTAAGAACTTGCCATGATTCTTTCCCTATGGCTTGTAGTGGTGGCTTATGCAGCTTGGTCTATTGAATCGCTTTCACAGTAATTTTGTTTAATTGCACAGTGCTGTAAAGGAACTGGCTGACAACCAGCTCTCCTCTGGTTCAGACTTGTTCAGCAAGAACATAGATCCCATTGTTAGTTTAATTAGAAGTAAAGGATTCTCTCTAGCGTATCCCTAAACACACAATATTAGGAGCCGTGATTAAAGGCAGCTACAGAGATGTGCCCAGTTCACAGGATGGGAGCTCATGCTTAATTGCAGCAGATCTTGGGAACCTTCTTGACTGTATTTTGCAAAGGTTGGGGGTGGGCAAGGCTAATGATAATACAAAGGGAGTTTTATCTTGTGTCCTTGAGTACGGTGCCATCCCAGCACAGGGCAGAACAGAAGTAACTCTGTACAAAGTTGGGAGCAGACGCTGCTCAACAAAAAGGCTGAAGCTGAGTTTGATGTTAGTGTGAACTCTTTCTATAGCTGCTGCTTGGGACACTGAGCCCCATGAGGACTAATTTTTAAGGTGGTTGGGGTTTCCTGCAAACTGCTCTCTGTTATAATTGCTCTCCGCAGTAGCTTCATTAGTTTTATCATTCTTTGTTACCTGTTCAGGTATGATCCAGGCCCTTGGAGGTTTCTTCACCTACTTTGTAATCATGGCAGAGAATGGATGGTGGCCTTCTGGCTTGTTAGGGCTCAGAATTCAGTGGGATGACCGATGGGTTAATGATGTGGAAGACAGCTATGGACAGCAGTGGGTAAGTTTTGAGGCACAGCGTAGAGGCTGGCAGTCAGAATACTAATGCCTGCTGAACTGAGTGTGAGCACCAGAGAGCCAAAGGCAGTGTGTCTGAATGAATGCCCTCTGCTTTCCTTCCTAGACCTACGAACAGAGGAAAATAGTGGAGTTCACTTGCCATACAGCCTTCTTTGTCAGCATTGTGGTTGTGCAGTGGGCAGACTTGATTATTTGTAAGACCCGAAGAAACTCTGTCTTCCAGCAGGGGATGAAGTAAGTCAAGCTGTCCATGGAAGATGTAGACTTGGACTCTGTGTGTTCTCCAGTACATAGCATTCTAGTTCTTCATCCCAGCAGTGTCTGAGCATCATAAGTCCTGAACAGTCTGGTGCCTTAGTAATGGATAAAAAAGGTGTGGGTGCTCTTTTTCTTGTAGTACTTGCTACAGTCATAGGCTGAGACAAAGAGAAATGCTGGCTTCTGTTGGCAATGTCTGTGGGAGCTAGCCCACCTCAAAGGACACTGACATACTCCAGCACACAGCCTTGGTTTCCAGATCTCATACATCAAGAGATCTGGAGGCATGAACCCCAGCCTCCTTCTGAATTTGTGATGAAAGCAATTGCTGATTGACTTAGTCATGAACTGGTGTATCTCCGTCTAGAGACATAAAAGACCCTCATGGCAACTGTGCCTGATAGTCCCCACCTGACAAACTTCTGGGCTAGACTGGAATGCCTGTTTCCATTCACTCCCATGTGGCAACTAGGTGTTTTTTAGGATCTCATCTCTGAAGGTACTTTGTCCCTGACTGTGTTCCTGTTTCTTCTAGGAACAAGATCTTGATATTTGGTCTCTTTGAGGAGACTGCTCTGGCTGCCTTCCTGTCCTACTGCCCTGGGATGGATGTTGCTCTAAGGATGTATCCTCTGAAGTAGGTTGCATTATGCTTTTTGTGCACAGACTGTACCATAGAACAATAGTGCTTAGATTGGGAGATGGTTAAAAGTAGTTGGTGAGCTTGTGGAGCATGAGACCTAGTCTTAACCCAGAAGAGTTCAGACTGGAGGGTGTGAATGATCCTTGGCTGAAGTGTGGCATACCAGGGTTTTCTTCACTGTATAGGGAATGTTTATGGGGAGCCTGCAGTTCAGTACCCCACAAAAAATTGTCAATACAACTTCAGTACCAGTGTGCTCTAGTACAGCTGCCTCTTGTACTTACTTTCATGGAGTATTTTTATGGGTGGGGGACTGCATCTGCAAAGAAAGCCAGTTGAAATGCTCTAAATCATAGGCCAGATAATTCTTCTGTACTAAAGAACTGCTGATGACATCTTGTGCCTTTTCCTGCCTTTCTCAGAAACAGCCCAAGTAGTAGTCTTTTCCTAACAGTTGGGAGGGTGCCAACATCTCAAGCTTGCTCAACAGCATTGCAACATTTCATGGCAGGGTTTAAACTTTGAACAGTTTGGAGCGTCATGAAATTTTCATGGCAAAAAAGTCCTGGTACATCTTGTGTTCCATTCAGAAATGTTGTCTGGAGTTTGGTGCTGAAGTGTGAGCATTTCCTAACAAGAAGGCTGGCCTCTGCCCAGTGCCTGGAGCAGCTGGATGTTAGCACGTGTAAATTATAAGGGAAACAATGCAGTTCCAGTGGGCAAGGCTGTGGGCACAAAGGTTATGTGTACTTAGAGCAAATACTGCCAGATTAATAGGTGGGGAGGGGTTGGCACAGAGATGAGCAAAGGTGGTATGACACACCTTTGTGTTGGAATTATTATACAAAAGTGGATTGACCTATTGCAGAAGAAAACCTGGTGGTAACTCTTGGCTTGGAGGGTTTTTGACTGAACTGCAGCCATGTGGGAGGTGTCACACTGGCAAGCTGGGACATGCCAGCCTTCCTGCACTTGTATGTGCCATCAAGTCAAAGTTCTGCTAAGCAAAGAGCATCTCTTCAGCTTGTGTCCTCACTGTCTTCTCTCCCAAACAGGCCGAGTTGGTGGTTCTGTGCTTTCCCATACTCCCTCCTCATATTCGTGTATGATGAAGTCAGGAAGCTCATTATCAGACACAACCCTGGTGGTAAGAATATGCTGCTTATCTGTGTTTCCTTCCCCACCTCTTCATGCTACTGAGTTCTCTAGAAGCCTTGACAAAGCTTGAGGACCTCCAAGTACTGTGCAGGGGTGTATTTTGCTGTGTTTTCCCTTCCTCAACATTAATAGTGCAGTTAGTTCAAATTAAGGACTTCTTGCTGTTCCTGCATTCTCTCCCAGTATATGAAAGTACCAATGCACTGAAGTAGGTGGAAAAGACTGAGTAATGCCTGGGCAGTTCTAGAAAGCTGGAAGAGATTCTATACTGAAAGCCATAGAACATCAACAGTTTGTCAGGATTTTTTCATTGTAAAAGGTTACTTATTTGCTCAGGTGCTACAGTGCAAGTTTTCAGAGCCTAAAAGCAACTGTCGTGAACATCATACTTGGTCTGCCTTAAGACTAACTCTGCTTTCTCCCTCCTCTTCCTTTTAGGCTGGGTGGAAAGAGAGACCTACTACTAAAAGGCGCCTGTAAAACATTCCACGCACAGCCCATGCCACCTCTCCACCATCTCCCCTGTGTGCATACTTCCATCTTTGCAAGAGCAGAACTGTGCCTGGGCAGGAGTGAGCTGAAACTAAAGGAAACATGAAGAAACATGGACTGGAGGAGAAAGCAAGGGGGAGGTTGGGGTGGGGGGGAGTGTCCGACCATCAGTCCAGGGGGGTGAGAGTTTGAGTAGTTTTATGTGCCTTTATGTTTTTGTAAAAGGAAACCGAAGATTTTATATGTGGATTTTTACAAATAAAGATGGATTATAAGAGGATGCCCCCACATGGTCTTAGGTGGATGTTTTTCTCCAGGCAAAAACTGGTTCAGGGCAGCCTCCCCCCTGGCTTAGGGTGAGTGCAAGGATTAGTCCCTGGCTTCCCATTTTTGTAGTAGGGAAGCAGAGTTGCTTGACCTGCAGACAACAGCGTGTGTGAAAGTGCATCTTACTTTATAGCTCAGTGCTTAATGTGACAAACTACTTGCAAAGACTTGCATTTCAAAGCCTAAAGCTCAGGAATGCTTCCTGGCTTCCACTGACTGGCACTGGGATCCAAGCAGACATTTCTCAAAATTCTGAGACTGATTTTCCTGCTTGCTTTCCCAAGTGAGGGATAGTGTTTCCTAGTGTCCTCTGTGCATGCACATACTTGTTACAGCATGGCACTTGCATCCTGATACTGGCTTGTGCCTCCTGTGGAGTGAGGTCATAGGCTCATCATGGATTTTACATCCTCCACTTTTGAGGAAGGCATTGCTGTTGTCTGGAGTCCAAGCTGTCTCTGGGCTAAAGTGAGTCATGCTGCTTCCCTCTGAATATCTAACCATTTTCTGTATGTTTTAATTTACTGTTAATGCCTGTATGGCTTGCTTCTGTGAGGACTTGCTGAGAGAGCTGGCCCTTTGCATGTGGACAGTCACCATGAAGTCCTAACTGTTCATTGCTCCTAGTGCTGTTGTGCTAAAGATATCTGGAGATGCTTGTCCAAGCCCTTGGTCCTATTCCTGAACTACTGGTCTGTGTCGCTCTTAGATATGTGTCTACCTCTGCAAAGGAACACTCTAAACCACGGCACTGAAAGGCTCTGCAATTAAAACTCCATCTTGTCATCCCTCCTTCCTCATTACCTTTTGTTTTTTTAAGGTGTTTGAAAGCCGGGTCACTTCATTCATGTACCTCATGTACTGAACAATATAAGCTCAAATAGCAAAGAGAGCGCAAGGAAGGGAAACAATGAGAGGCTGAAGCTGGCGTCTGTTTTAATTTGTCTTGGGTACTCTAATGTGGAACCCCCAGTTGGAGATAATTAAAAAATAAAGTCTTCCAAGTGTTGGAGTCTGCCCATGCTAACAGTTACGTGATACAACTGGACTTGAGGTGATCCTAGTTGGGAAAGGGAGATGAGGAATTACACTAAGGGAGGAAGGAAAAAAGGTGGTATGCATTTTACTGCATCTGATGATGACTGAGGAGGAGTGATGCAGAAATGGCAGTCAGTCCACCCAGGCATGACCCTTAGTTGAACTTTTTGAGTAGTGCCTGAGTCCCGCTGCAATGAAGTTGCAAAATCAGTATTGCTTTCTGATGCAGGAAGTAAAAAAAAAAAAGGTCCTGTTACTCTCCCTGTCATTTCAGCTTTAAACAGCCTTAGCAGTGGGCTTCTTGCTAGGATAAAAGATGTAGGTGAGGAGACAAGATCCTGAAGATCCAGCTGCCTGCTCAGAACGCAGCCATTTTCAAAGTGTGGTCAGGTTGCTGATGGCCTGGTTGAGCTTAGATCTAAATATTGGCAGGGAGGACTGGGGTTCCGTACCTCTGAGCATCTATGCCAGAGCTGAACCATGCCCTGTGAGTTCACAGTGCTCCTCTTTGGGCTGTCCCTCTGCTGCAGTGTAGCTGAGGCTCCTTTGCAGCCAGGTCCAACCACGTCTTGCAGGAATGCTTTTTGGCTACAGTTGCTGCTCAGGAGTAACACCTCACCTGGACCAGGAGCATTTCTTGCATTTCATGCTGTGACTCATTAGTCCATCTTCCAAAAGAAAATACTCTGAAGCCATGACTGGAGCAAGCACTGACTAACGTTAAAGGAAAGTTTCACCCCACTGTGGCAGCTTTAACATCCTTGTCTGGATAAGGGACTGAGGGAGCTGTGACTGGGATGAATGAGGCTCTGATACTCGGGGAAGGGAGCAGGTAACCAGGGTGGTGAAAGCAACATAAGATGTTTTTTATTGGCGCTAGATGTTTGATATTCACAGGCTAGGTAATATGCAGTAATTAGAGACAGCATTTACAGCAGCTTCTCCTTAGCGCAATGAGCTCTTGTCACATGGTTGAGCTCATCCTGACTTTTTTTCCACCCTCAAAGGGCAGGATGTGCTGGTGGCAACAGCATCTCCTTTAACCTAAAATTACAAGGAAGATTTTGCAAGAGGGGCCCATGACTCACCTCCACGTGGCCAGCAAAGGGACCTGAAATAGCATCAGTCCCTGAGCAGATGGGCACAGAAGGGCTCCCAGAAGAGAAAGTTCAGAGACATGTGTGCCCAACTCATGCATATCCTTTGCTGGAGGTGGGGGCCTGAGTTAGAAGGATAAGGTCAGGACATAGGACCAGCTAGGGATGGTACCCACCAGGATTTGGGAGCCTCAACAGACCTCTACAGAGCAGTTACCTCACTTAGCGCTAGGCTCTTGCAGAGGTGTTTTTTTTCCCCGGTAATCCTTCATTTTCATGAGACCCGCCAATTAGCAAGAAGAAAGGCACTAGTCTCTCCTGGAGACCTGCTCTCCAGCACCATTCCTCAAGGGATAAAGCACTTTTCTGCCAGATTTGACAGCAGGCAACTCTGAGCCCCTCCACAGTGCTCACTCGCCCCTGACTTCGTGGCCTGAAAACAGGAGGAGGGCAAAACATCCCCCTCCAACCTATTAGGCCTCTGAACCAGCTGATTAGCCAAAGCAGAAAGCAGATTAACCCCAATTAGGTGGAAATGTATAAACAAATATATTCAGTAAAACCTTTTGGATAGGTTCCCCAGGAGACTGGCTTTGAACATACCTCCCAGGGACCTTCCATAGCTTACACTCACAGCATCATACTCCATCAGCTCCTAAATTGTGCCAGTGCTTGGAGCCCCTTCTGTGCTCTCACACAGCTCCTGCTGCACTTGCTTCAGATATTGCTGTGCTCCTCTCCCTCATGCTCTGCCTCACCTCCAGCCTCTGCAGTCCTTCTCTCTCCCCGTCACTCCATGCACCATCCCAAGAGTCTCTGGACTCCTGGGCTTTGCTGACGAAAAGTATGGCAGAAGGTCTGTATCCATGGAAAGTTTTACTTCCTACATGGAATGACAGAAACCCCTCTCATCACACTCATCTTTGCTCCCATGAGGTCATTCGTCTCCCTGCTTCTTTCATCTGGCTTCCCAAGCACAATAACATCTTCACTTGTGTTAACCTTTGAACCCTCTTGCTTTCCAGAAGTCTGGAAAATGGCTGGTTTGCTCAGCTCTGGTAACAGCAGCCATGGGATCTTGTATTTCTATGCTCTCTTTCACTTCAGAAGCCCCCAAATTTCCCATATGGTACACAAAAAATTCTCTCTGCCTCTGGGAGGCCTGTGCTGCTGTCAGGCAAACAGCCAGCCAGTTCAAACAGCCCAGAGGGGAGATCTGATCAGGAAGGAGATACCAAAAACTCTCCAGTGAAATGCCACTGGAACTTTCCTACTATAGCTTGAAAACAGCTGTGCTTCCTAAGCATGCCTGGGAAGGTTGGTGTCACCTCCCAGAGGTTTGCCCAGCCAACACCCCTATGTCTTGTGCACTTGCTGAAATGGATCCCTGATGCACAGAAACAGCCAGAAAGTGAAGGATGGTTAGAAAATCTTCAGCCATGAGGAATGGGAAACCTTTCCACAGGCCAAGCAGCTCAGCTTCTCCCCTTACTGCTTTAGAGAGGAGGTTGAACAGCCAGCAGAAAAAAACCCTCACAGTAGTTTTTCTAAATGTTAAAGGAAAAAAAAAAGGGGGATCCTTGACAGCGTGTCACATGCATGGACTGGGACCCGCAGCTGACAGGAATGAGAGCTAAAAATAGATATCAGTGCTAATGGGCTCAGAGCTGCCTTCCGTGAATGAGTCCCAAGGTGAATTATGAAATCTAACACGCGTTCTCTCCCTAACAAGTGTGGTTTCTATCAAGGCTTATTTACTTTGGTCTTCATTCCTGCTGGACATAGGATACTACTCTCAGGTTTCACAACGAAACAGATCTGGGCCTGATGGGGAGACAGCCAAGAAGTCAACAGGAGCACTATTATGGAGGATGCAGCTCCACACATCTCAGCAACAGCACTGGCCAAAGGAGCTTCTGGTTGTGACCCTTGCCTAGACAAACTGACCCAGCTAAATTGTGACGCCCCTCGGTGACTTGGCTTTCAAATAACCTCCTGAAATCCTGCATTCAAACAATACCTGCCAGTCTACCCATGCTTATCTTGGTGATACATATTCGGGGGTGAGGATCTGATTGCTTTCATCTAACTGATGCCCACCTGCATCCCTGTAAATCTGGTCTGGCTGAGGCATGGTAACAGAGCTCACTTCTGTTGAATGGTGCTTGTGATGGCTTTGTCCCATGTGTTGGGAGGATGGACAGCACCTGATCCAGATGAAAAAACAGAGCAGCACAGACATGAAGCCTGACTGTGTTGTCTCAAAAATTCACTAAATATTTTGAAAGAAGAAGTTTATACTTACTTACTCTGTGCATGGCATGGCCAGGGTGTGTTTGATCTGATGGCAGGAGCCCTACTGTGAGGTTTACCACATCATCCAGCTACAGCCTGAAATGGCTGGGAATAGTCTCCCCACAGCTCAGTGCTGCCCCAGCAGGCAAAGTTGGGCCTATGGGTAAAGGAGTGGGGGAAGGGGGTGCTTAATAGGCAGTTGGAGTTTTTCTCTCCAGTTAGGATATTTTCTCCTGTTGTTTTCAGCTGTAACTACAGTTTGTTATCCAGGAACATTTTTTCTGTTCCTCCCCCCTCCGCCTCTTAAAAAATGCTTTCAAAAAGCAAATCTGTGCAACAGCCAGTCTAAAACACAGTTGTCCCCAGCCTACTTCTTATCACACGTGCTTGCCTGCATGCTGTTACTTCTCTGCTCTTCCAGGGTTTTTTTAGGAGGCAATTAATCCCCAGAGGGATTAAAATAGAAATGAAGAGTGTTTTTCCTTGGAGAGAACATTTCCGAATGACCTTCCTTCTCCTCTGCAGTGAAAATTGACCATCTTGGATGAATCGCTCCCAAAGCAACAGATTCCACTTGAAGGTTTCCGGCAAAGTCTTCTCATTATCATAGACCAGGGGTCAGGAACAGCTCAGCTGCACTGTTGGCATCCAGCACGAGTTAATGGAAACAGTGTGATCACCTGGAAATAATGAAGGTATGATAGGAAAGAAAACTTAATACTGGGATGAGCACCCTCAGGATCTGCTGGGGAAGGTCTATTTTTGTCACATACAGAGCAGTCAGGGTAGGATCCTCACTACCTCCTCTGGAAGCAGTAAGATAGCTACAGTTTGCTCAGTCCTTCCTCTTTTTTTTCTGGGTTTCAATGTGCTTTTGTAACCAGCTGTCTGAAGTCATCAACATCCGTAAACCCCCATGTGCCATTACTGGAATCAAGGAACTTGCACTGGTGTCAGCAGGGTCCCTTCTCATGCCTGCATGTGAAATTCCCAAATTACTACCAAATTTGGAAGAAGCACTAAGAACCTCTTCTTCCTCTCTATGCCTTATCTTTGAGTTACTCCCTTGTGTGAAGCTCTCCACTCATACTGCTGTATTCACATGGTTGCTGGATCCTCAGCCAACACACATGAATCCATCTCCCCAACACACACACATGGGGTATGTAACAACCACGTTAGGGCTCTTCTATTCATATTATCCTTAAGGATTGTCCTGTCTTCACTCATATCAGTGGAATATTAACATCTGAACAATCAGGCAAGATCTAGTTGTTTAAATATATGACTACAGATATCTTACAGCTACAGCTGTATAAATACAGCTACATAAATACTCTTTTGCCTGACCACCTTTC